ATAGCAAGACATGACATACATATATTTTAGGACAAGTGAGAGATTTGATGCATTATGCATCATATAGTATGGTTTTGCTCTTGTAAAAAATAGTTTTATTGTCATTTGTAATAATATGTCTTGGATGTTTGCATGAAGAAGCACAATGTGACATAAATTATAATTTAATCATGAATAAAATTATTCACAACCAATGAATTAGCTTGGGTTGATATCTTGTACTGAAAAGTTATATTGTTAACTAATTTACTATTAGGGATTGTGATTTGTCCTTACCATAGAATTAATATAATGATGGCATTAGTACATTTGAAGTGTATTGAATGAACATATATTGAATTTAATTCTATAGCATGACCATGGCTGAGAATAAAATTCACTTGATCGTCACGTATTTCATCTAAATTGTTGTACAAGATGTTTTATATATATATATATAATTGTTCTTTAATTCACCAATGGATATCAATTTGATTGATCAAATATCTCGATGAGTTTGAAGCTTAAGAACGAACATAGCATTTCTCACCTTTTGTAGAACTCAAAGAGGGGTTATTTTAGGATGGTGCAAGGGATAGAGAAAGAGCTTTGCAAGGGAAATCAAGAGAGACCCTCTGACACGTCGAAAATGTGTTCGACTTTGATTACCGCAAGTGTACGGATCGTTCAAGTAATAAAATGGATTTTAGAGTCCAAGTATCGTTCCCACAGAGATTTACTAGTTTGATTTTTACCTATTCCGACCTTAACCGAAATATGAAATATGATTGATTTTGATAATTAAGTTGTAACTAAACTAAATGCAAAAATTAATGGATGATCGATTAAACTAAATGCAAAATAATGGTTGAATGCAAGAGTTTGGAGAAAGTAATATATGAAAAAGCGCACTAGGATCCCGAATCACCAAAGGAGTTCACTTTTAACATCTATTTCACAATTTGATAACACAATGAATTGGTTGAAGAATCAATGTTTGTAACTTATCCAACAATCTCTTTCGAGTAGAATTGAACATATTCTAGCATACCATTTGACTATATTTCTATGACAAATGCAATATACAAGAATGCTTGACGTTTTGTAAACACTTAAAAATTCACGTAATGCATATCGGTATATTTCTATCATCTATAAACAAAACGATGATTTATACCTTGTTGAGTTTATTTCCCTTCTTTCGAATGCATAAAATAAACCACCCAAACTCACATAATCACATGCATTTAATTATGGAGGCAAGAAAGTGTATATAAATCATTCAACATCCATCAAACGTGTTTGAATATCAAATTGCAAACTAAATAATTAAAAGATCAAAATGCGAGGTTCATCGTAAATCCTAGCACATATAAATCTAGTTTAACATGATATTGAAATTAAATAAATAAAAGTGGAACAACATCACCAAAGATTGACGAAACGTGATTAATTTTTGCCGAAAATTAATCTGTCATCGCCTCCAAATTAAATCTGCCACGTCCAATTTTTCTTTATTCAATCCCTTTTCCATGTGTCTGTCTTCTTCCTGCTGCTGGATGGTATGCATATATTAATTTCAACTTTCAGAAACCTTCAGCAATTTTAATGTGTTTTTGTCTCTTGCGTCGTCTTTTTCTTTCTCCTGCCGCGGGGGTCCTTCGTGTATTAACCTATTTGAGCCCCAAAATTCTCGAGCAGTTCCTGTCCGTGTGCGCGTCTTTTTTCTCTTCTTCAGCTTCCTACGGCGGAGGTTCTGTGTGTAATTTTTAATTCAGCTCCCAAGAACCTCCCACGCCTTCTTCTGTTTGCTTCTGTAAATATATATAATAGTGCACCCCCAAAGTCTTCAATTGAGGCCCATTCCAATCAACCAATCAGCCGCCCATCAATTCTAATTTTATTAGAACTCTAAGTGCTAAATGAAGTGATAATCCTAATTAAACAAGTCCAGCCCATTAACTTTTGTGTTTCTCCAAGTCATCCATCTTTAGAATTAATACAATTTAGGCCTTCAATTTCTATAGTGTAGACTCTAATCCCCAAAATTGTATATTTCCTTCAATTTCAGCATTCTTTCTCTTTCAATTGTTTCGAACACGTCCAAAACTAAAACAAAATAAAATAAACCTAAGTTAAGTAAAAATTAATAATTTGACGACATGAAACCCAAGTAAAATGACTTAAATAGGTGCACAAAATGCACTCATCACCCTCCTTTGTCCATAAAAAAGAGGCATTTTAATCAAGTACGTGTGACAATGCAATGTTGCTCGGTGGTAAATGGGATTAAGAATGTATCTAATATTTCACCAATTGTTCCAATTTTATATGATGTATAGCTCTTTTGTCATAGGTTGCTTGTGGCACTTCTTGCCTTGTACACAGGGTCGGAGCTAACACTCAGCTAGCGAGGGCAATCGGCAATGTTGGCTCTACCCAAAAAAATTGAGTATATATTGGGCAGCAGCTCAACGATCGCTCAAGCGGCCACGAGCGTTCACGTGGCAAGCACAGTTTGAACCCATGGAAAACTACTCGTCGGACGCTTGAACCACCTGTATATAATTTTTACTATTTAATGCATTTATATATTGATTAAATTTTTTTAATATTATTTAATTAAATATTATTAAAAAAATCTCACTATTGCAGCCGTCAACGGTCAACGACCACCCTAACTCACCAGAATTCCTGGATCCACCCCTACTTTACTTCACGAGAAGAACAGAGTGATAGTCTCTCTTATTGGTTTATATGCTTTATAGGAAGGAAGAAAATATCCCACAATCTAGCTTCTTTGGCAACAATGTGGTGTGTTGATAACCTCTATTCAATCTCAAGAGCAAGAGTAATCGAAATGAAAAATATTTTAATGGCAACTTCATCCGTTACTGAGCCACGATTTGAATATAATCTATAAATTGTTTATAAATTTAATAAAAATTAATACTAATTTCAACCATACATTCATAAATGTTACAATTATTATCCACAATGTTTTACAGGTTTCACATTTCTCTTACCTTTTTTTTTTATAAACAATTTAAAAATTCGCCAAAGAGTCAAAACACAAAAAGAAGGTTATAAGATAAATTTATATTGGTCTGGTACTTCCATCTTAAAAATCCTTATATATTGATTATTATTTTTATACCTAAGCGATGCGACCTATCTTGAAATTCAACTATAAATTTGAGTTAGACGGATTGAATTGTTTGTTTGAACTAAAATTCCGTTTTAATGTAAGCCCTTATAAATACTTTACTATTTTTATATTTAAGCGCACGAGAATTTTTAAATTTTAAAAATTTCAACTTTCAGTCACAATAGAACCTTCCGCATTGGATGATGTAATATCAAGCTATATAATTGATTATTAAGCCCTTATTTTCTAAAATTCATTTTTTAAACTCATATTTAATCACGAATTCTTTCAATAAAATAATTTTACACGTGAATTCTTAACTTTTCTTTATTTTTTAACCACGCACTCTCCAAAAATATTATTTTTCTCAAAAATCTATTCCCAAAAAATCTATAAACAATTACTTGTGATGGGAATTGCATCAAGTTGAAGCAATATCTTTTAGTTGGAAAAATTCTTCTTTATGAAGACATAATTCAAATACATTTAATTCTCACCTACTTGTTAAAAAATTCCCTATATATGTCAATTACGTGCGATGGGAATTGCCTCAAGTTGAAGCAATATCTTTTAAAATCTGAAATAAATACATTAAAACTAGAAGAGACAAGTACAAAGAAAACGACATTATTATATAATATGAAGGAAATTCGTTTAAATTCACTCCAACTTGTGTAAATTATTAATGATGTTAATCCATTAATTTGTCGTTCTAAGTACGATTTAAATATTTCGACTAATCTCTATAATATGCGGCCACGATCTTCTGTTTGATCTTGTTTTTAGAGTTTACTTTTGGGAAATGGAATGCAAAATTGTGTAATTATTTAGGCGTGAAAAATTTCTTCATGAACTGCAATGTTGTGTTTAATTTTGTTTGAAACGAAGTTCAATTTTGATTTTTCCTTAGAATTGAGAACTGACCAATTTCTGCTAAAAACATAATTAAAATAAACAAATTTGTCCGCTCTTTAACAATTTAAGTTTTGAGATGAATTGACTCAGCTCCCGTTGGTTTAGTTAAAAATCAGATTTTTAATACATTTCGATAAAAAATGATGAAATGTGTATATATGCTGCTGTGCAAGTATATGCTAAAGAAGCTATTAGGGAAAGGGGAGTTTGACTTCAGAGTTGGATGCCGAATATTGAAGAATGTTCATATATACTTCCTTGTGAATTTATCATCGTATTCACACATGAATTTTTTTTTATTTCACATTTTGTCTATCTTAGTGGAGAACAACCGAGCGCACTGTTGACAAGATTAGTGGATCCTAGTTTTCTGTTTATTTTAATTATTCACATGCACCATGCACATTGTACAATTACTATTATGAATGTGATTATTCCTAATTATCATTGATCCTCGTGATTTTCACGGATACATTATTCTTGGCAGGATTGAAAATTTCAAGATTTAATATGATATTAGAACAAGATAAATAACGTGAATTCAAATCTCTTCGTCTCCAATTAAAATTCGTTCACGTGTTAATTATTTGATGAAGACATAATTCGACAGATGTTGAAGATAATATTTAAACGATACGTGAGAGTCCATACCAATATATCATGGTGATGGAAAAAAATTCAAAATCATATAATTAACCGTTTTGATTTGACAATTGAGGCAATATCAATGTATGAATGAATCTACAGCCGCGAGAAAGCAAAAGATAATTATCATATCAACATCATATAATTTTCAACACCAAATGGCACAAAAGATAGACTCTCAAGCATTTGAATGAACACACTTAAGGCAGAGATACACTCATTACTATATATATGCGTAGATATTTATAAATGCCTACAATCTTCAAGAAATCCTATAGCAAAATCCTCAAAAGTTGCTTTTTTATAAGCAATAATGATGGCTGAAATTGAAGTAATCTGCACAGAGAACATTAAGCCTTCTTCTCCAACCCCAGATTTCCTTAGAAAATACCAGCTTTCATTTCTTGATCAAATAGCGCCTCCTGTTTTTGTGCCACTTGTTTATTTCTATCCATCAGATAGAAAAATCACAAACGTGGAAAGATTAAACCATCTCCAGAAATCTCTTTCAAAAACCTTGAACCGATTTTATCCTTTGGCTGGGCGTGTTGTGGACAATCTGTACGTTGATTGCAACGACGAGGGCATTCCATATGTTCAAGCTAAAGCAAACCGTAAACTTTCAGAAGTTATTTCCGATCCAATTCCTGGTGAAATGAACAAATTTCTTCCTTATGAATTGGTTGATGTGAAAAATCTTTGTTCAGCTGTGCAAATTACACAGTTCAGTTGCGGTGGACTGGCTGTTGGATTAACTATTTCTCATAAGATTGCTGATGCCTTGTCGTATTTCTTGTTCGCAAATAGTTGGGCAGCCATGGCTAGGGAGGAAAAAGAAATTTCGTACCCGAAGTTTGAATCTGCCGCCATTTTCCCACCTCGGGATGTGGCTGGTTTTAAACCTAGTACTGGGATAGTGAAAGAAGATATTGTGACCAAGATTTTTACATTTTCTTCCTCAAAGATTTCGGCAATTAGAGACAAATATGCTGATACAAATGGTGAGAATTCTCGTCGTCCAACGAGGATCGAGGCACTATCTACGTACATATGGAGTCGTTTCATATGTTCCACACAAGCGAAACACGATCCCAACAAGATTCACACGGTAATTTGATCGTCTTATTTAAAATTTTAAGCACACATAAACACTTAAATCTTATCTTTATCACGTGCCCTTAAATATAGATTGGATTTATTTTTAATCAAATGTCTAATATAAATGAATGGAACAAGACCTAAACTCAATTTTTTCTATGATACTTGTTTGAGCCCCATTTTGAGAGAAAAAATACATTTTTGAATAGTGATTTTTGGAGAATGTGTAACTAAAAATAAAAATTAAAAAGTTTTCGATTTATTTATAATATTATTTTATTGAAAAATGTATGGTTGATAATGAATTTTCAAAAAATGGGACTCAAAACAACCCCCTAAGTTTTTGGGTTTGATCTTACAATGTCAATCTCATAAGAGGAATATCTCAAGCATTCATATGTTTATTATTTTCGTATTTAAAAGATGTGGGAATTTACCTATAACTTAGCATAGCAAGATGCTACGATTAATGACATGTTACTCTCTTCCAAAAACTTAAGCTGCTAGGAAAAGTCACGTGGATCACTTTGAGATCTTGTAATCAACAGGTACTTCATGCAGTGAACCTGCGTACAAGGCTTGATCCACCATTATCCGAACACTATTTCGGAAACATAAGCCGGCTAGCCATCGCAATACCATCTGTGGAAGATAGAGAGAGAGAGGGCTACGGAGTTCTCAACAAAGTACGAGAAGCCATACACGGTATTAATGGCGATTATCTTGCGGAACTTCAGGAGGGTGACAAACACTTGAAATTTATTAAAGAAAGAGCTGCACAGGCTAATAAAGGTGACCTTGTGACATTTAATTTCACAAGTTTGTGCAGGTTTCCTTTATATGAAGCTGATTTTGGATGGGGAAGGCCTGTTTGGGTGGGATCAGCTAGCTTAACTTACAAGAATCTTGTTACTTTCATGGACACAAAATCTGGTGATGGAATTGAGGCATGGATTAATTTGAAGAAAGAAGACATGGTTAAATTTGAAGCTGATATGGAGTTGAATGCGTTTCTTGGCTCAAGCCCTGCAGATAAAACTTTTGGATTTCAGAATTTAGAACTTTAAATTTAGTTTGCCATAAAGGGGGGCGCGAGCCATAATAAACGAGAAGCTATATGACTTGAATTATGGTTTCATGCTTATAGACATCTTTCACATATAATAATATCTATGTATGAAGATAAAAATGGGAAGTTAGAACAAATCATTGCAAAATGCAGGATCTGTATTCATTCATGAAATGTTTTATTAATCCCAATAGTGAAAATGTTGCAAAATTTGCCTAATAAATCTTTAGTTTTAGAGTTCAACAATTTAATCTTAAATTAGAAACAAAGTTGGGTCAGCTCAGGCTGTAATTTGGAACGTTGCTTTCCAAGTCAACTATTATAATCCATTTGCCTGCGTAATACTTCTGTCATATAGGTTACAGACAGTATTAACTCAACCCTATTTGTCAGAGAAATTGCAAAATGCAGGATCTGTATTCGTTCATGAAATGTTTTATTAATCCCAATAGTGAAAATGTAGCAAAATTTGCCTAATAAATCTTTAGTTTTAGAGTTCAACAATTTAATCTTAAATTAGAAACAAAGTTGGGTCAGCTCAGGCTGTAATTTGGAACGTTGCTTTCCAAGTCAACTATTATAATCCATTTGTCTGCGTAATACTTCTGTCATATAGGTTACAGACAGTATTAACTCAACAATAAAGCTACTGTGACAGGGATGGCAGCCAGAGTTTGCTGACAACGCTGACGTGGCGAGTTGTGATTCGTCTGTTTTTTGTTAACAAAATCCATCTTTCGATGATTTGGTGACAAGTGTTGTTTGTCACCAACTCCTGTCAAAAAAGTGTTGTTTGTCACCAAATCCTGTCAAAATTCCCTGGCACAGTAGCATAATTCTTAACGCAACCCTATTTGTCAGAGAATTAAATTCACACTTGCTTTCATCGACAATTTGCAGACATAGTGATGCAATGGATTTTGTGAAAGTTGAACGACAAATACAAGTGATCACCAACTCGTTCACTCTTGTGACTAAAATAACCTAAACTATAGTCTAATTTAAAGAATTACCCATCCAATCCTCTCTCTCTCTCTCTCTCTCTCTCTAATGTAATGTAACCTTTTGAAGTTCAGCTTTGGACATTTTTTGGAAGGTTCAGTAGTTAATTTGTTCCTTTTTTTGTCTATTAATCCTCTTTTACATATAAGGCTTTCTACAGTATTGGGTTTTAAATCATTATGTTGTTGTTGTCACTATGTTTTTGAAGAAATGGAGAAAAATAATCATGAAATAAGTGGTCGTGAGGCCGTTTGACAATCTAGCTAGGAGATCAACCAGCAACGAAAATTTGATTAACGGTCTCAGGTGCTTCATTTTTCGATGAAAAAAGCTGGCGGTGGTGAGGGCTTACGTTAGCAAGGCGATATTGAGGTTGCGGATGAAAAGGTTCTCATCCTGACGGGAAAAAAAAACTTCAATAAAAAGGGGATGTGGGTTGAGCGATATAGACCAAGAGTGAAAAGACAGCACTGGACTGGGGGTGGAGAGGATTTGATTGAGGAGGCGGCCGTTAGCAAGACGGCGGAGGAAATCGAACGAGATATACACGAATAATTAGGAGGGGAAATGGATGAGTGTTTTTTGGGGATGAATATGAAGTGCACGACAGCGAGATGGGGTGGTTGATATCGTGAGGTAGCATACAGACAATGAATTTAGTAGCAAAAGTAATTGTAGTGCGAAAGGGATTGGGCGTGGTGGTGGACCAGTGGAGTGGTTGTAGGGATTTATCACCTAATGCGCATGCCCCCTACCAATCGATAAGCCCTTGTATTTTTGAGCAATACTATTTATTTTTATTTTTTTTGATACCAAGTATCCCAACTTAGTCAGACTAAATCTTGGACCTCTAACCACCAGCCACTCAGCGACTCGAGGAGGTAAACCGCGGGGTTATGCCCTTGTTGGCTCCTATATTCATGCACCGCTTATACTCCTAACCCCAAGAGAGCTCTTCTCACTGTCTTCCCTGCCTTCTAGTCATTGTCTTGCCTTCGAGAAAATCTTCCTTCCAAGACTCGTGCCTTCCAGGAATCGAACTCTCCATACTGGGGTTACGAACCCACAAATGCAATTGTTCCATTAACTCGGATGTGTCCCGGGGGGCTTGAGCAATACTATTGATTCCTATAGTGTCAAGCGGTCTATGTGAAGTTTCAATAATTTATAGGTTATCTTAAAATTAGAGATATTGGTCTCATTTAAAATGACTTGTCACTTCAAAACGCACATGTTAATGTATCAATATTGCTACATTTGAATAATATTATTCATATCACTAGTTATCTATAAACAGTAACGTAGCAAATATGGAACTTGTGTTGGGAAAATATTTTTTTTTATTTTTGAGGAAAATATGGCCACATGACCAATTTTTTTTTAAAATATTTTCCATGGAAAAAATGATAATTAAACACCTCAAAAGTAGAAATTTGAGTTAAAAAATGATATTTTTCATGAAAAATAAAGTCAATCAACCACACTCTAATTGATTTGTCATCTTAAGTGTAAGAATTAAGATGAAAAATCAATTTTTATCACATCGTGATGATAGCAAGCATCGTTTTTTAATAGCAACACTTTAATTCTTTATGTCTCAAGGAGCTCGGCCAACAAAAAGGTAGACGTATGCGTGGAAATGGCAGAGTAACCGAAGTTCTAAAATGGCCAATTTGAGCTACAAATTCCGTTTTGATTGTGAAAAGAACAAATATAATCCTAAATGTATACTTTCTATCATAAGATTGAGGTTAGGAATGGACTCATATCCTTGCCTTTGGATCTTTCCACCCTCGGACAAAACGAGGAAAATCAAGGCAAAGAGAAAAAGAATTAATATACATATCAACTTGTCTTGATCGAAAACTCTTAGTCCCTGTTTGGTGTTGCTTAAAAGTTTGATAAAAATTTAAGTCAAAGTCAACAATTAATTTTAATTACAAATTTTATGGGATATATCCACAACTTTTATCAAAATCAACTAAAAAAATGATTTTTTTGCTACACCAAACAAGGGCTTAATTTTATAATAATCAACTTAATTATATAAAATCTTATTTTTCCATTTAGGCATTTATAACTATGGTTATAGAATCAATAATTTACCATTTCTAAATAAGGTAACGAGTTGATTAAATTGTCGTAGTAAAATAAAGATCTCGACAGAATTAAACTTGTTTAGGTCAAAAAAGAGGATTTGTTGCAATAAAATCCTCCAACAAATTGATCTTTCTATGTGAAAACAAAGTCACAAAAAGCAAAAGAATTTTAAAAAATTAACTAATTTAATTTAAGATAACAAGTTCCTAAGATTTAAATACAAATAAAAATAAATAAATGGAATATTGACACGCGTGAGAGCAAAAAAAGATTCTGTAAAACAAAAGCCGTCTGAATAATGAAGAGAAATGAATATTGAGAAAACAAAGGTGAAACAATCTTCTTTATGAAGACATAATTCAAATAAATTTAATCGTATAAAATCAGGCTTTTATATGAAGGTAGATTTTTTACTGAGGGTGTAAGCGGTCCAATTTTACCAGTTTTTGACAAATTTTCAAACCAAACCGTTTAAACCGGTTTGAGAAAAATCCAAATTTAAACCAAACCATTTTGAACGGTTT